ACATCCTGTTCACTGTTTCTGGCACACAGTAGATATTTAATAAGTATTTATTGAATGAGTAAATGGAGAGCATTATTCTTCCTAGATATTTAAATAAAATGGCCTCAGATACACTCTCCAGAAAGCAAAGGTAACCTACCTTTGTTCTAGTCTAGACCAACTAAGCAAATCTTCTTCCCTCAAACAAGGCCTTTAAAGAACAATCCCTCTAATTTTTCATAACCCTGAATAGATAGCCATGTCACTGAGCAACAAACTGAGTAGACTGAGCCAGCTTAGCCAGAGTGGAGTATTATAATCAAATAAAACTTACAGCCAAGTTAATCAGACACATATTTAATGATATGCATAATTGTTATTGTACTGCATGGTAACTAGGCATAAATGGTAGACACTTCATGCAAATGACTCTAATTACTACTTCTTCTACACAGCCAAACCAAGCATGTCTAGGATAAGCTTCAGGGGAAAACAGCAAGGAGTGGAAAGCCAGATACTTAACTCTGGGAGTTAAGTCCTCTCTTATTCCACCCCTCAGGGATTGGTCTAATGGTCTTTCCAGCCTGGGATGTGTATCTTCAAGAAGAGTTAATGTCATCTCTTCCATAGTAGAGAAGGCTTCTTTTAACCAAAGATTCAAAAATAAGGCCAGCCTGGGCAACATTGTGAGACCTCGTCTCTACCAAAAAAAAAAAAAAAAAATATTTCAAAACATTTAGCGGGGTGTGTTGGTGTGCACCTGTAGTCCCAGTTATTCAGGAGGCTGAGGTGGACAGACTACCTGAGACCTGAAGGTTGAGGATGCAGTGAGCCATGATCATGCCACTGCACTCCAGCCTGGATGACAGAATGAGACCCCTACTCAAAAAAAAAAAGTTAAGCCGGGCTCGGTGGCTCAGCCTGTAATCCTGCGCCTTTGGGAGGCTGAGGTGAGTGGATTGCCTGAGCCCACGGGTTTGAGACCCGCCTGGGCAGGCGAGACCTCATCTCTACAAAAAATCAAAAAATCAGCTGGGCGTGGTAGCGCGTGCCTGTAATTCCGGCTACTCGGAAGGCTGAGGCGGAAGGATCGCCGGAGCCCAGCAGGTCGAGGCTGCGGTGGCTGGGAGCGGCCACTGCACTCCAGTCTGGGCAACAGAGTGAGACTCCAACTCAAAAAAAAAGTTAAGGTGGAATCTGGCCTCTGTTTCCAGTCATAAAGCCAAGAGAAGTCACTCTGGCAAGGAAGACAAGGGCAGGTAAGCTGGTGGAGAAACCAAGTAAAGTGATCAAACGTCCCGAGTACCTACAGTGGGACTCCAGGCACACTAGTCGGTGTAGCACATAATTCTTCTTACTACTCCCCCAACCCACCTACCCTCCAAACTCAGTTCCCAGGAAAGTGGAGCAGAAGCAGAGAAGAGGATGAGTCCAGTGAGGACTCGCTGCTCCAAACTCTCTCTCACAGGGCCTAAAATACTGACAGAATTTTAGGAAGATAAGGAGGCAGCTGTGGTTTACAGGCTCTTTCCCTAGCTTCCTGTCTCACCTAAGACCTACCTAGCCTTCAAAGCCAAGGCTAAGCTCACCTCCTCTGGGATATTATTCCTACTCAATGCAGTCTCCTCTCTCCATTGTACTTATTGTCAGGGACATTCACTTGGGTGCACAATCATTCACTTTCTGTCTTCTTGCAATTAATTTTCTTAAGTAAATGCTTATTTTACGCAGGAGAATGCAAGCTAGCTTGATGGCAGAAATCCTGCCTTAAACTTCTTTAGCAGGCTTCGTAAGGCCTAGAACCATTAACGAAAAAGTGCTCCATAAATACCTAGATACACAAATACTTACCATTGTGTTACAATTGCCTACAGTAACATGCCATACAGGTGTGTAAGCCCAGGAACATTAGACTATACCATATAGCCTAGGTGTGTAGTAGGCCAGACCATCTAGGTTTGAATAAGAATACTCAGCCGGGCTCAGTGGCTCGGCCTGTAATTCCGCGCCTTTGGGAGGTTGAGGTGAGTGGATTGCCTGAGCCCGCGGGTTTGAGACCCGCCTGGGCAACTTAGTGAGACCTCATCTCTATAATAAAACAAAAAATTAGCCGGGCATGGTAGCGCGTTCCTGTAGTTCCAGCTACTTGGAAGGCTGAGGTGGAAGGATCGCCAGAGCCCAGCAGGTCGAGGCTGTGGTGGCCGGGAGCAGCCACTGCACCCCAGTCTGCGACAGAATGAGACGCCAACTCAAAAAAAAAAAAAAAAAAAAAAGAATACCCTATGATGCTCACACAATGACAAAACTGCCTAGTGATGCATTTCCCAGAATGTATTTCCATCACTAATTGACACATGGCTGAATTCTAGATTCGCCTTCTAAACTAGTTTTGATAATAAATTTCCCTATGAAAGAGAAAGCGTGACTGACATTCAGTACACAGTAGACATCCTCAGATGGACGTCTGAGACATTTGGATCAAAGCTACAAGACATGGCGCCAAAAATAGAAGAATTCCTATTATATCGAAAACACATTTACATCTCAAACGTCTAGAAGTCTGTAAGACCCAAAGTATAAATCCACTTGAGCAGCATTAGACAGGGTCGCTGCCCCTGAGCCAAACACAACAAGGAGAACCTGAAGGCCCCTGGGTGGATGATGATGCCAAGATTCAGCCTATTTAGTCCACCTGGGTGACCTGGTTCTGGTAGCATAAGTCTATATTTCGTTCGAAAAAATTCAGAAACAAGCCCAAATCAATTTCAACAGTAAGGATTTGGGGCTGTGAGTTTGTGAATTCCTCCACCACACTCCAGTAAGGAAGAACAGGCTTAAAAGTAAAGACATCTGACTTTAGTGAGTCCCAAAGTTTCCTGTTTAAGAACAGACCAGCAGAGTTCAGTATGGGAGATATCAGTAGAAGAAGCACCCTACTCCTCACCTGGCAATTCTAACCTGAAGAAGGTAGTCTATTCCTAGAGCTCAAAGGGGCATTCAGTTTAGCAAACTCATTTACTTCTGGACCTCAATGTTGAGTAAGTCATTGACTCAGACAACTAATACCAGCTGTGTACGCATGCTTCGTAAAACCAACAAGACAGTCTCGTCCCTTTCTGGTCACCAAATGCTCAGCCCCACGTTCTTCTAGTCACTAGAACTCTCAGCTTTAAAAAAAAGGCCAGACTAAAGAGCCATGTCAAGCTAAAACAGCATTTCGATTCTGGTCCTTCAGTGATGATAGGGTGGAACTCAGCCTCAAACTGACTGGACTCCAGAACCTACCTTTTCTGACTACCACCCTACACTAAGAACACATGCTTGGCAAATATCCCCAAGATACAACCGCTTTAGGCATAAGAGGCTCAGTGCCACGTAATCCTAACAGTAACTTGAAGAACTTAAGATATGTAATAGTTAAGGTAAATGAAAGTAATCCAAGTTAAAGAATATTATAGAGGCATTAAAAATATTTTTACAAGTAACTATGTTACTATAAAACAATATGGTGGACTATTATAAAATAACATGCTAAAAATGTATGCTGTAAATAGAAAAAGCAGAATATAAAATTTTACATACTTTTTAATGTAGATTTCAACTATGTAAAAAATATGTCTGCACATAGAAATATCTAAATTTGCTGCTGAACAAAAACAAGTTGCAGAATTTTAATGAATGTGTGTGTATGTGGCATGGTCCCATTTACGTAAGTAGTTCCTGACATTTTAAGTATTCAATAAATGTAAGCTACTATTATTATTGAAATGAAAATGTACTACTTTAGAATCAGAAAAATCAATGCCAGACACACTGGCTCACACCTGTAATCCCAGCACTTTGGGAGGCAGAGGCAAGAAGATTGCCTGAGCCCAGGGGTTCGAGGCTACAGTGAACCATGATCATGCACTCCAGCCTGGGTGGCAGAGTGAGACCCTCAACTCAAAACAAACAAACAAAAACAAACTTTACAATTATACAATGTGAAATTTAAAGACATCTAAGTTATGGGAACCAAGTAGCTCAAGTAGCATTGGGAAGAAAATCGCAATACTCCCAACCACACCTAGGTTTACACTCAGCATGCTGGACCACAGAGAGCTATGCTGACACGACTATGCTTTGAGTTTAATATCATAGACAGAAAGATCAAACCAGAACTGGTACTTTAAGGGCTATGATTAACACGAATATTTTGTTCATCAGTGTCTCACACTACACCCAAACTATGGCTTTTGGTAGTCTTAGAAGGATAAACCAACAGCTGCGGGGGAGCGCAGCAAATACACAGGTGACATGAATGTAAGCAGGGATACTTACAGCGCTGAATCTAGGTAGAATTTCTACTAAATCAAATCACAAGGGACTTATTTTGAGTGAAAAGGGAGCAACTCTAGAACTTAGCTCCTCAAGTTCCACAGGAGCCTCAATATTTGAATTTGTAGGTTGAAATGTGAGGTCCACTGCACTGTACTGATTTTTAGCCAACCTATGACAAAGAATAAATCGAAACCTTAAAAGATAATATAGGCCGGGGCAGTGGCTCACACCTGTCATCCCAGCACTTTGGGAGGCGGAGGCAGGTGGATTGCCTGAGCCCAGGAGTTTGAGACCAGCCCAGGCAACAAAGCAAGACTTCGTTTCTACCAAAAAAAAAAAAAAATCCAAAACTTAGCCAGATGGGGTGCTGTGCACCTGTAGTCCCAGCTACTCGAAAGGCTAGGTGGAAGGATCACCTGAGCCCAGGAGGTTAAGGCTGCAGTGAGCTGTGATCGTGCCACTGCGTTCCAGTCTAGGCAATGGACTGAAACCTAGACCCAAAACAACAAAAAAAAATAGATAACATACCAAACATAATAACACTAAACTACAAGAAAAAGTTAACTAGATAGAAAAAACCAAAAATGACAATTTATCTTTGAAGAACAGCTAGCCAGTTTTCCCCTGCATTGTCTTAGACAGGACTGCAAAGCCACCACCCGAAGAAAAGTAAGAGTTGGGCTGTCCTGCTGAGTGTTTACCTGTATCTTGCCCCATCAGACCATCACAGTACATGGCATGTAGCTCAATCTTTGTGGGTGGGAAGCCCTGGTCACAGAGTGGGCAGGATACCTCGGTACTGGATGAGAAGGCAGAAATAGGTATTTCCTTCTCGGCATCCTCCTTGTCACCAACCTGAAGAAAATGACAAATGGCAATTGTAACAGCTTGAGTTTATAAAATATCTTTTCCCCCAAACAAGTGAAAGCGACTCCACCCCATATTTCAATTACTTTCAAAGAGACAAGACTATTTTACCAAACTCAGGACTAAAGATCAAGACATAATGCTAATACTTATTCAGTACCTGCCAATTATGCACTAAGCATTTCACAGGTATTACTCATTTAATCCTCACAGTCTTACAAAGGCAATAACATATCCTTTTTACATACAATTAGAGTATTGTCCAAAACAGTAAAGCAGCTTGCAAAGTCCCAGAACAAATAAGTGGTAAACTTGAAATTTAAACCAATAACTATCTGGCTCCAAAACTTGAGGGTACTGATCCCTACTACAACATAAGGCAGTGTTGTGTCTGCTGTGTTTCACACTATTGAAAGCATCTTATGCAGTATCAACAGCATCTTAAAGACACTTTTTCAGGCCAGGTGTGGTAGCTCACATCTGTAATCCCAGCACTTTGGAAGGACAAGGTGGGAGCATTGCTTGAGCCCAGGGGATCAAGGCTGCAGTAAGTCATGATCGTGCCACTGCACTACAACCTAGGTAGCACCTGATCTCTTTGGAAAAACAAACAGGGCCAGGCACGGTGGCTCACGCCTGTAATCCCAGCACTATGGGAGGCAGAGGCAAGAGGATTGCCTGAGCTCAGGGGTTCAAGATTAGTCTGGACAATATGGCAAGACTTCATCTCTGCAATAAGTCACACACACACACACAGAAATTAGCTGGATGTGGTGGCACATGCCTGTAGTTCCAGTTACTTGGTTGAGGCGGAAGGATCACCTGAGCCTAGCAGGTCAAGGCTGTGGTGGCAGTGACCGTGCCACTACACTCCAGCCTGGGCGACGGAGTGAGACTTCAACTAAAAAACCAAAACCTAAGTCTGTGCTTAGACCCTTAAGATGTAATAACTGTGTTTTTTTTTGTGACTTTCTGAATTAAAAGAGGAAGCAGGCTGGGCTCGGTGGCTCAGCCTGTAATCCCAGCACTTTGAGAGGCCGAGGTGAGTGGAT